GGTACAAAGCACATTGGAGCCATATGAGTGAATTCTGGCGATTTCTACACTATCTGACGTAGCAAGGATCTGGTAAGCGGTGCTTCTGTCTGAACCAAAACCATATAGTTTTTCTTTCATCTTGGAATCAGTTATTCCGCGGCACCTCCTTTCTAACGTTTACGCGCAGATTTTTCCCGGAAGGTCTCAAAAATACAATACCCCAATAAAATGAGTACTCCTTAAGGTTTCGCTTCTTGAACAGGAGTATTACGACTCTACGTTCTCCAGCTTACTGGCGTCTACGCCGTAATCACAACAGTTTGACAAACACGTGTTAGCCACAGTATTCCTTATTTGTCTAGAGCTTTAAGCAGTTGCATGCGAATTTTATTGATTCCAGCGTCTTGCCATTTTCGAGGTTTCAACAGCTTCTTTCAGGTTAGTCTTTCTACGGTGGTTTAAAGCTATGGAGTTCTTCCTCGCCGAAGTATGTCCTCTTCTTCTGTAAGAAGACGCCCGCACTTGTACTTCCGGGCTGCAAGACTGCCGCTTTTTACATCTCGGAGAAGGCGGATGTTCCGCCTTGTCCGCAGTGGGGCAAATTCGGCTTCAGGGCCTAATCGAACTTTACCCATGAATTAGCTTCAGCTTTCGCGACTGCTTTTGCTGCGATTTCTACTACCGTATGTGAGTTGATTCTGTCCTTCCAAGCAGTTTATCGAATGCAACGTTTTTGCCTTTGACTGCCTGTTGTACCTTTGGTGTTCACCGAGAAGTTCTTTTCTGATTTCCAGGCGGCTGCTCAACCGCCTTGAATCCGCAGCAGTTGGCGAAAGCCCCAAATATGCCTGTTAATAAGCTTCCACACTCAGTGGTTATCACCGGACTGTATTCAGGCCATCTTGCGATGTTGTTTGCAAGTTTTGCTCTCGTGTTCACCGAAGGTAAAGTTTGCCATTTGGTTCTCTGGTTGCTTCTGCCATTTCTTACAGTGAAGCGTGCCAACAACAATGTAGTTATCGGAGGATCACATTGATAATCGACTTCTGTGCACAACCTTCCTTGTATCAGGTATACTGATGCAGTCGTCGATGCTCGAAGGTGCTCATAATGGACAGTCCGTTGTTTTCAGAAAACCGCAACAATTTCATGCCGTTATTGTTGAGGTCGCTAGGGCCTTGCTTTTTCTAATCACGCCGTTCCACTTTTCAGCGTCTACTCCGACATGCGCATTGAAATCACCCATTGATATGATGGATTCTTCAGCCAGCACTTCATACAGGGTACATTCTACTTTAATCGGGAAAGACTGACATTCTGCTTCTAAATTGATCGCAGAGACCCGTTGCAAGATCAAATCTTTCGTTTGATGCAACTTTATTGGAGGATTGCCACTGTTCCGGTAACAGACTATCATCTGATGGTCGGGAGGCAGTGGGTTGAAGTCTTGATCAGGAAGAATTATTTTCTTATCCTTGCAAAGTAGAAAGATGAGTGTTACTATGTGGAAAGCATCAACCTGTCCGCAGGAGCACAGAAAAAGTGCGAGTGGAACATGCAGATGAGACAGTAGAGATATTTAACCAATTTATATTATCGATCGGCTCCATCATCCATCCGAAGTGATGGTACCATCCAGTCAGAGTTACATCGGAGGGTCGCCTTTGCTTCCATTGCTCTTGGTAACCAATGTTATCAACAAATTTCCCAGAAGGATGTTCGTGTTGTTAAACAAATTGGCTGAAGACAATCGACTTGCTTCAGTTAACGAGTTTTTCATCGAGTTTCAGTCAGACCTCGATTTAAAAGAAAGCGTGGTAGCAAGATGGAACAACAGTTCGAGACAGATCTGCGTATAGAATCTTCTTTCTACCATTAGCTGACGTGTATAGTATGACAAGAGTGCTGAAAACAGATAAATACAGTGAACATAGTATACCATAGGCCCTCTGATAACGGAAATAGTCCAATGTGATATGTCAGCAACACACAGTTGGACAGACGCAAAAGACCGCATGCTGAAGTGATAATAAAACACTTGACACTGTCATTTAAAAACCAAACCTAACTGCTTAGGTGGATCCCTCTTTCACTCACCTAAACACGGGATTACAAATCGTAGAAAATTAAGCGATACCGAAATCAACATATCAGTAATTGTCCGCTTTCTTCTGTCGCTTCTCTGGGTTTACGAGGTATATTCTCACTGTTCAAGTGCTCTTATTCTCCCAAGGCTTTGTTTAAGCAGATATGGCTTCATGGTATTGTAGTATCAGCGGTGGAAGGATGAAAAATAGCGTCATTTGGACGAATCGAATAAAAACCTGCTTGGCGCCTGCACAACGTTACTAACCATAGGCTTACATACACGTAGAAATAACCCAGGTATTATGGGATAACTAGCGAGCTGCTACGTTTCGACTGCATCGGTACGAATTCACGGTATCTCTGAATCCACAAGTTCAAACATGAACTCAGTGCACTGATACAGTTTTGCAGAATGTACCGTAGGTACTAAAATATTACGGAGTCGCTGTGCGCTTAAACGACCTCTAGACGACTAAGAAGAAAACTGTGACCGCGTGACTACGCCGTGTAGCTCTGAAGAAGTGAGAGGAGTCTATTAATCCTATCGAAAAATTGACACTTTGATAGAAACCTATAACACCGGAGTTATTTTCGTGGATTGCAAACTTCCTTTCCGCTGGAAGGCCGAAAAGATTTTTCAGAGCGTCTCGATCTCGAATCGATACAGCAAAGCTGATTGAATATCCGCAGATTTGTAGGAAATATAACTATAGCACAAAATTAATAAAAGATTTTTACAGTGACCTGCCGATACATGGAAAAAGATTCGCATCAGACCAAGAAGATGATCCAGATACCCAGCCGTCAACTTTATTGGTCTGGAGTAAGCGGATGATACAGGGTTGCCGAACAACGGGTGGAGTGACCTACGAGACCTCACCGTTTATGGGTGCAAAACGGCAGAAGAGACGTGACTATAAGTCAAGCCGACGAAGACGAAGGTAATGAGAACATCAACATCGACCGACACCCAAATCTACTAGAGTGGCTGAATTATGGAGGAAGCCGACCATTTTAAATATCTGACTAGAGTCGTGGTTAACGATGAAAACTGCGACCCAGATATCAACAGACGCAAAGAATTAGCAGCAGCGACGTTCGGAGATGGACACCGCAACGAGTCAAAGGTCTGCAATCGTAAGGCGTCAAGAAGATCAACTGATTGGACCGGATCCAACATCAGTACCTTAGAAAAATTCGAAACGTCCGGTGGTCCCACTGGATATCAAAAGATCGTCTACTGAAAACCAGCAAGAGCAAAGAGATAAAAGACTTTCGTGGTTCGATAAAATGGTACAAAGAACAAAGAAGATATCTGAAGGATGCCTCTTTCATGGAAGTCAAAGCACGGTGAAAAATAATGGGTGATCAGTTCAAAAATGCTCGCATAACCTGACCTATTTTGAGAAGATCTGTAGCGACGAGGTGTGTCTTCTTAGTCGAAGCCGTTAATGCTTAAATTGATCTGAAAATCATGTCTTCTGCATGACGGACATCATAATTCCACAGTTAAATGAGTAGTTATAGATCTATGACCCTCGATGACGATGACACCAGGCAACAGCAACGATTACAGTCATATACGTGGCACTAGCTGCAAAAGAGGGCGTAATTCAACATACAAGTCTGAGCAGCATTATTTTGCGTAAGTTTCAGGTTTTTGTCTTTCTCTTGATTGGCGACATCATGAATCGAGCAATTTCCGAATCTTTCGCCAGAGTCTAACACTCAGCCACCTCCTTTCAGAGAGTAGACCGTAGACCGTTCCTCAAGGATCCATGCGTCTAGGTTTGGTATTAGAGTACCTCTTAAACAGGACAACTAGATCAACAACCATGTAACAATCAAATAAACAAGCTGCACTCTGTTTTTCTCTCGCTGCAGCTTTACCTTGCCACTACTGTCATTTTAGGTCACAGAAGAAGACGTCTTACGTTTTAAGAAGGAACAGAAAGGTAGGCGCGGTCTCTTTGTGGTCAATAAAGCCATGTGCCAAACCGGAAGAAAAGAATCTTTCCTTCCATAACTCCGAATATCAAAATGTAAAATGTACAGATGAGTGGACGTCACAAATCTGAATCAGTCAGTTTGTAGTTTTTCAAAGTGGCAAAGGATGACGCGAAAAAAGGAACAGCAAATAAAATTTGCTCCCATGTATGACATTTTCAGTCTATGCTTTCCGACTAAACTGGGCATGTGAGAACGAAATGTCCAACAATCGTTTTGGGTGGCACAGTGCATGAGAGGTCGATTTCGAGCTACGGAGGTGCAGAGTCCGACTTCGGCCTAGTGAATCATTGCTTAACCACAAATTCGAAATTCCGCTGAGCAACGAATTTACCACACGTTAATTCACACAGGGGTTGGTCAGTCAGTAGGGGTTCCGGTTTCGAGCTCTTGTCGGAAAGGTCACATGCTTTTCTTCTTTGCGAGGTTAATGAATCACTGCCTCACTCTGGTTAATGATAAGGAAACAGGGGAATCGGGCCATTCTTATCATATGGTTGCTCTGATTTTGCGCTTAAAATAAGACTTTTTGACTGATGACGTTAGTCCTCTCATTAAGTTCACGAAAACAGAGTGCCAAAACTGATCCAGCAACGTAAGGGTAGGGAAGGCGAATGTTCCGAACCCCTACAAAGTTACGTTTCCCCTCCTTCCGAGATTGATAAATGAATTCCACCCCCGGAGAAGGAAACAGAAGATGCTGGCCAAATGATTATGTCTTGACAATGCGGCAGCTTTAGCTGATAACATGGAAATTGAAATAAACGCTTCAGCGTGAAGTTCATGAGAAAAAAAACAGTTGTCACAAATGCCTCCATCGTGAAAATGTACGGAATACGAACATTGCTACGGTTACAAACTTTCTCATCCTTTTCTTTTCTACTGTTGCTTGAAGCTCAGCTCGCACAGCGGGTCGGTGTGATATGGAGCTGAAGCGAATGCATTGGTCGAAGATGCCGATGCTCAACGCTTCGCAGATCGTTTGCGGATCAGATCGGATCGGTGAGGTTAGTTTTTACGCCCCAACGCTGATCCTCTCTAACAGACGGTTGGTTCATTTATCGAGGCAGCAGCTGGACGACGACGACGACGAGGACGAGGAACGTGACTTGTTTCGTTTCAGTCGTCATGTGCGAAGGTCATCCATCGGTCGCCGTGCGGCAACGGAAAATGTCACAAGGCGGGTGACGAGAAAATCGTCAAGAGCAAAAACCGCCAACTGCTACATGCACCTGTTGCGCTAGAAATTGCCGCGCAGGGCGGCAAAACGGTCGCCGCCTTCGACGCGCAGTCCATATTGATCTGCTAACTAATCACCTGTCGACGGAACGTTATATCGAATGATAATGATAAAATGAACTACGTCCGACAGATGGACCATCTGATCGCCTAACGTGTGACATCACACAGAAACGACCACACGGTTCATCGTCGTGTGCTGCATGTGTTTAATGGCTTTGTCAGTCTCTCGATCAATAATCTTCACCCTCCGTTGATGGCTGATCGATGCACGATCCGCACGTGCTAAAGTTTATCCAACGACGCGACTGTTTACTGCTGTTGAAATTTCTACCAATCAACATAACGTATAAGGCGGAGCTAAATTTTGATTGGTCAAAATGGCCCAGTGAACCACGTTGTTCTCACGGATTGTTCGTCGGCGTGCCAGTGTGACCAGTCGTCGTCGCTGGAGAATAATTAGCAACGTGTTCTTCGCCGCTGCTGTTGCCGCCACTATCGTCGTCGTTGTCGTCGCTGTCGACGTCCTCGTCGTCAGAGTAATGCTGTGGCTTGTGCTCGATTGTTGTTTCCAGTCGTCGTCGCCGCAGTGTCTTTCACGCCCTTCGTCAGAGCGCAGGTTGCTTCGTGTGTCACCTTGATCCTCAACGCCCTCAATATCCTCATTTTCTTGTTTCTTTCAATGTAGAACAGTACACTTTCGATTATGAGTATCCTCGACCTTTTGGAAGCAGCCGCTTATCTCGATCAAGTTGACCACTACAGCAATAACGGTAGGTTTATTATAAGCTAAATTCGCTGTAATGTATTGGACGACCTTCGACCTCGATGAACCTCGACAATGACTTTGTTTTGATTTGCTTTACCATTCAATGCATGGTTAGTTGCTGTTAATATATTTGTTGTATTACAGGTCGTTGCCACGGATCGGAAATCGCGGTCTCCGATGAGCAGTCGGTACTGAGCAACGGTACCACTACCACAGCCGTCGCCGTCGCCGAGTCTCCGACATCGGACGACGCGGCGGCGGCGGAGGCAGCGGCCTCGGCGGCTGCGGAACTTGCGACAGCCGGCGGTGACCCGGACAACCATGCTGACATCGACATCGACATATCATCGATGTCGTCATCAACTGTCGCCGCCGCCGTCGTTGTGGACATCGCCCATTCTTCACCACCGGCACCGATGTTGCCGAAACATGACCCGCCCGACACCGATGATGACCCACCAAAAAAACTGCATCGAATGAGCGCCAACGGACGAGATGTCGTCATGCGATCGTCGGCCAATGCTATGAACTTTGATCATGGTCTTCATAATTCTACACGGTACGTGTACTTAACCAGTACTGTATGTCTTTCGTTGTTCTGTACGTTTTAGTTGGCTGCAAAAGTTACTGATTATTCTAAGAGCAGTAGTTACTTTCATTGATGGGATGCAAGGCGAACGTGAGCTGCCGTTTATTTGAACTTGAATTTTGGGGCCATTCTCAGAGCGTGTATCTGTTTCTCAATGTACGTACATTTGTACTGTTATTGTGGCTGTATTGATTTCACCACGATGACGACGACTGCCACAATGACGGTGGCTTTCGGTAATGATTCAGGCACTGAATGGTCACGCGATTCGTCGTAGCCACGTTTTCCGACAGCGTCGGCACCGCTTTTTCGCTTTCCTTCCATCTCTTTTAATCGTTTTTATTCATTAGCAATGTCATGTATGATGTGTTCCCCCGTTGGTTCCGTTCATTTATCCTTCTTCTCTTTCTCTCGCTCGTTCACTCGTTGATTGTCTTCCATCCCATCTCCATGACGTTCGCCGCCACCGTCGCCTACAGCTATGAATCATCGTACATCGCGCACGTGGCATAGCTGCTTTTTGTCTGCTGAATCACGTGTGTTTCGTGAAGTCGAGAACCGTACAAATCCAGGCGCCATCTGGTGACAAAACGCGTCATTCGAATGTCCCTCCTTTTCTACTGTTTGTGCATGCAGATTTGCACTTCTGATTGCTCACATTTCAGTTAAATAACATTGTTTGCCGTAAGGAAAGTCGGCACATCTGCCGTTTTGAATAAAAAGTTTGACATCGCTCTTTCGTTTTATGTGTAAAACCATTTGATCTTTTTTATTAATAAAGAAAAAACAGAGTCGAGATCTGTGTTCGAAGTCATGCAAACTTTTCGATTTTTCTTCTGTGAATGCTCAGTTTCCTGTTTCAAAATCGACCTCTCAGAAACTTGCCACATTCTTTTTCACATAGGTCGGACATGGTTGCTTTTTTAGTCGGTTCTCTAACTCTCTAAGAAAAATTCTGCACTGAATAAAATGAATTTAACAGATGAAATATTAATGCGAACGAATCAAAATCGTCCTCGGTAAATCAGCGCGGTTCCAGACTCCGATATTATTCTCTGAGTAACTTTTCTGTACTTTTAAACTTACTTGATGTAGTTAATTTTTCACATACAGATCATCTCATTTTGTCTCATCTCATCTTGTCAGCTAAACGACCTTCGTTCACGAACGGGTCTCTGCTGTCCACCGACATGAGTTTACACGTCGCGTGTTACTTTCAGTTTGACAAGTTTTTTTGATGGAACGACGAAAGTTTCGTTATTTACTTATGGAGCATGATTGACGGTTCGGCTAGTCTAACCTGCTTAAGACGGTGACGGTTATGCTGCGTGAAAGTCGCTAAATTTTACTTAATCATATGAGCATATGTGTGGGTGGGAGTGGGGGGGGGGTGAAGTGAGTACTTACGGTACTTCCCACCTTCAGTTACTCTCGGTCGAGAAAGCGGATCAGATTTAAAGCAGTCGACCGACATTCTCTGCTATAAGTGTGTACAGTATGATATCAAGATTTCACCCCCTAATTTGTTCAGGAACAAAGATTCATCACCGCTTCTTTCATTACAGGACTGTGTTATGGCATTGACGAATTTAGTTTATTTTTTTTTCATTAGGTGACCGTTTCAGCATTGATCTCACCCACCATCTCTGCTAGAAGTCATACTGTCTGTCTCGAGGTGCGATCCGTCAGTTCGGTCGTCACTAGCTGTCCATGAAACTTGTAGGCGCAGAGGACAGCATCACTCTTGGAGTTTGGTCAATGGTAAACATGTGAAACTGGTCCACAGAAGACCACTAACGGTTATGATTTTAAACCTGTTCTGTCACTTTTTGATTCTCCGGATTGTTGAGACCATTTAGTAAGCACACGGCGAAACTCGACGGCAAGAAGCTCCCATCCAAGCCATGTCGATGTATGGAAATGATCCGTTTGTGTAATGCTAAAAGATGAAGGAAGTAGCAGTAAGCAGTAGAAAGTACAGTAAAAGTAGAAATTTTCGTATGTAGTAGAGGCAGCATATTTTAGAGCAGTTAGTAGAGGTAGTGACCTAAAAATTAGAATGACTAGTGCAGTTTGCAACGAGTCGTTGGAATAAGTTGTATAGATTGTACTCGTAGATTTAGGAGTAAGAAGCAGAGATAATAGTGAAAAATAGCAAATAGCAGACTTTGGAGTGAATAGTATAAATGTTTCAGTGGAAAACTTCAGATATGGTAATAGAATTTTCAGTAAGTTATATCAGTAGTCAGTAGCATCAGCAGAAGCACTAATATATGGTCAATTTAAACAGTCAGTAAAAGAAATTGTAGTAAGAGGTCGCAGTTGTACGAAGTAATCGAGTTAACGAATGACTCCTCCAAGACCAGATTTTATGCACCAGACCGAGTAATAGATAGCGTTGAATACCTGAAACCTTGAAATACTTTATAACTGCTCAACGAGCCGGTTGAAAGAGAATTATTGCCATTCCAGGTGATATGTCATTGTCGAATATTCAACTTGAAATGCATGGGTTTCGTCTGTTATATTAAAGTAATATTGAGCGAACTCATTTTCCTCACTTAGAAGCCAATATCGAATCAGTCAGTATGCTTGTCTCTTTCGTTTATCGTTGTATAGTGCCATCATACCGACGCCGTTAGTCTTTTATGATCATTTTTGACATCTTTCTTACCTCTAGCAAGAAAGATGTCTTTAGTCACTGCCTTTCTTTCTTTGGTACTATGAGTCATTGTCTAAAGCACCTTTCCAGATTCGTAATATCCTAATGACGTTCATTTCCACGCTTGGGTCTTTCATTCGGTTTGCGAGTTATATTTCCTTAAAACGTGATTTTACTCACCAAATGATCAACATGCCTTAGCAGATAACGTAAGTGAATTCTACCCAAGTACTAAACATACTTTCAGATGAGGGCTCTCAGTTTAGTGTCATTAACACTCACCATCAGCATGAAGTTTTATGCTATTTTCATGGCATCACAAATCGCAAAGGGCAGTACATAATATGTATAATAGATAATGCACATTTCCACATTCATTCATATTCAGTCTCCATGTCCTGAGGTTATTATTCTTCCAGTTACCTGCTGGATCCTCCGATGTAAGGTTTGAGATCTGAAGAGGTCTCTTCTTGGAGCATGCCACACATGCCGAATTCTGATCGAAGTTGGTTATTAATGATCAAAAGTTCAACGGAGATT